CTTGAGTGGAAAAGGTTTACTTTTTTTTGCATAGTTTTCAAGAACATAGTACTAGTTCCTACAAAAATGTTTTCAGAAATTCAATTATATCTTTTAGTGAATTTTATGAAACAGATCTACTGAATTCTTATACTTTAATATTGTGAGCTTTATTTATGTGAAGCATTTTAGTTAAATTTAAAAAGGTAGTTTCAATATTATTATTACTGAGCTGTTAAAAGTGATAAATTTTCCTGGTTGTAAAAACATTAAAAGTTTACATTACTTACGTTCGTTCACGTTTTCTTATAAAACAAAGTGCTGCGACCATTTCTCGTCATTACCTTGCTTACAATTGCTGCCAAGGGTACCGTGTCAAGAAGGCTCGAAAGCGCACTATTACTACTACTACTAACACTATTAAGTTCGGCAATAATATATAATAGAAGATTGATGTTAGTGCTTAAATGTTAAAATCAATAAAACTCAAGAGTTAAATAAATAGTAATCCGCACTAAACAAAGCAATTAAATAATTAAAACGTCAATAAAATTATCATAACATTAATTTAATATTTAAAAAAACGCAATAAAAAAATGATAACATCAATTTAATATTTAAAAAACGCAACAAAATAATAAAAAAACATCAATCAAATACTTAGTAATCATTACTGTTGTAAATTAAACACATCATTTAACAATTAATCTTATTATACAATATTTAAACGCATATCAACTTAATCCGTATCGATACATTTTTTAAAAGATTGGAAAGAGCATAATATATGTCGTGAATATAATTGCGATAGCATTGCAAACGCAGCATTTTAATCGGTTTCAGGAAATATATATTTTTTTATTATAGTTTCATTTTTTGGGATCCCCATTTTTATGCAGTCTATTATTTTTTTGATAGTTTCATGAGGTAAAAGGTGGGGCATGTTCCTAACACTATTATTCCCGGAAATTGGTTTCAGCTACCAATTGCGGTTCTGCATTTGTAATTATGTTTTGTTTATGTTCTGCAACTTCATTGCGTTTATCTTTTAGCCTAATTGTATTTTTGATAATATTAGAGTCTCAACACAAAGTTCTGATATCACTCTGGCTTTACTTTTTGCCATTTCTAACTGCAAAATTCTTTTATATCGTATGGAACGATCACCATCATCAATGCAAATAGTTTTAACAATGACATTGCCAACTCGTCGACTGCTGTTTCTACTTCATTATAAGAATTTGTTACAACCCATAAGTTTTTCATAATGGCCAGGACGTATCTTGATTGGATTGTTTTCCAATAGAAACGATTCTTTTTGAACATTTAAAAAAATTTAGTTTAAAAACAGTTCAATATTTTCATTATATAATTTTTTCGGAATACTTTAACATAAAAATTTTTCATATTTTGTCTCGTTAATTACCCTAACTTTGTAATAATTTAGATCATTCTCATCCCATTTAGATGCAGGTTTACAAATAGTTTTTAAGTGTCCCACATATTGCCTAAGGAAAACTATTGTTAGCAGCTGAATACAGATTGGTTGCATTTCTTGGAACTATAAAAAAAAAGCATTAAATTTTATAAAAAAGTATTTTTAAATAAATGAAAAACCTTTACTTAACTTTTAATATAATTTATATAAAACCTAATCGCTTATAATTAATACTTAACTTAACGCTGCCGCTGCTGCTGCTCACCATTCGTGCACCTTTACACGGACTTTTTTACCATACTTGGCCTTTGAGTTTTATTATAAATTGCTTTACTTCTGAACTCGCGTAATTAGGCTCTTTCAAATCTTAATAATCTGTCAGTATCTGCTTAATCAGTAATGAGATCAAAAACTTTGTTTCATCAGCTTAATTAGTGATAAGATCAACAATTTTTATTACATATATATATATATATATATATATATATATATATATATATATATATATATATATATATATATATATATATATATATATATATATATATATATATATATATATATATATATATATATATATGTATATATATATATATATAGACACACACACAATAAAATATATAGAACTAAAATGTCTATACATATATTATATGTAGAGACATTTTAATTTTTTTGCCTTAAATTATTGTCCCTTTTTCTTTAGAATATTAAATATCTAAAAAAAAAATTTAAATAGTAAAAGAAGTTTCAATATTTCCAAGTTTCTTCACTTGAAGCAAATATATGATTGTTTATAGAGGTTCTTTTAGTAGTTTTGTATTTATTTATTGCAAATCTTGGGTTAAATGCCTTTCAAAGTAATGAAAGGGCTTTGTTGATGGATGATTACATTTTATCCTTCCATGCTAGCAGTACTTGTTGAGTTGACAGGCCTTAAATTTTTTTAATTTGCTTTATTTATGAGTTCTTATATGTAAAAAATTTGTTTTTTAAATTACATTTTTTTTTTGTTTTTTTTTTTGATTAAATACTTATAATATTTTGTCAATAATTAATAACAACTACCATAAATATATAAACAATACTTAGTTGAAAATATTATATTAATTTATAACTTTAGTTTAAGTTTTTAATAAAACTATGTTATCTTAACACAATGCTATATATGGTAGAATATAATAGATTATAGTATTATGCTCTGTATTATTTGCTTACACTTTATTTTAGATAAGTTTAAAAAAGAAACTTCAACTTTTATTATATTAGGCATCATTTTTACACACTCCTTTGATGCCTAATTATGTCTAATAATTTAAGAAATGAAATTATTAGACTTCGTCAAAATGAAAGAAGGCAGGCTAGGCGAGCTGAGATAAACCGCCGTCGAAATGAAAGAGATGAGCCCAGGCGAGCTGAGATAAATCGTCGTCGAATTGAAAGAGATGAGCCCAGGCGAGCTGAGATAAATCGTCGTCGAATTGAAAGAGATGAGCCCCGGCGAGCTGAGATAAATCGTCGTCGAATTGAAAGAGATGAGCCCCGGCGAGCTGAGATAAATCGTCGTCGAATTGAAAGAGATGAGCCCCGGCGAGCTGAAATAAATTGTAATCAAAATGAAAGAAATCAGGCTAGGCGAGAACTTAATAGGTATAATATGCATCGCATAACAAGAAATAATATTGCTATAGAGAGTAACTACCTCGGAGAATTAAACCATAAGTGTCAGTATTGCAGTGCAAAGAAGTTTTTAAATGAAACTCATTTTTTGTGCTGCCATTCAGGAAAAGTTGTATTAGCTCCTCTTTCTCTTTATCCGCCATTGTTGACTAGTTTAATGACAGGAAACCATGTTGATCATGCTGTAAATCAAAATTTTTTTAAACACATAAGGAGTTATAATTCCTCTTTATCTTTTGCTTCCTTCACTGCCGAAATAGCTCAGTATTATAATTATAGGCTTGCTGTTAGACAAACTTTTAGTCCTATATTCTATGGTAAGAAACTTTTTCAGCAATATGTTGTTGATGCATATGTCAAAGTTGAGGGACAGCGCCTTGCTTTTATTAGAAATAACCAAAACAAACTTAGAAGTGAGCAATATGATGCATTGCATGAACATGTAATTAATCGTGCTAATGATCTTAATGTAAGACCAGGCCGTGTTGTTATATTGCCTTCTTCATATGTTGGTAGTCCAAAAGCATTAAAAGAAAACTTTGAAGATGCGATGGCAGTCATAAAGAAATATGGTAAACCAGATCTATTCATTACTTTTACCTGCAACCCAAAATGGAGAGAAATAGAAGAAAATTTAAACCCAGGCCAAACTGCTAATGACAGACCTGATTTAGTATGTCGGGTATTTAAAATGAAACTTAAATTTTTCTTAGAGGATATTTTTAAGCATGGAGTCTTAGGCAAAGTTGTAAGTCATGTGCAGATTATTGAGTTTCAAAAGCGTGGTTTGCCACATGTACATATTTTATTGCACTTTGTAAATGCTGATAAGCTAGAAACAGCAGAAGATATTGATAGTTTGATATCAGCAGAAATCCCAGACCCAGCTGTTGATCCTGAACTTTTTGAAATTATAAAATCATGCATGATACATGGACTATGTGGAATTTTAAATCCCAATTCTCCCTGCATGAAAGATGGTAAATGCACAAAAAAATTTCCTAAGGAATTTAATCCCCACACTGTTGCAATTTTTAATGGTTATCCACGCTATAGGCGCGTCGATAATGAAAGAATTGTCAATATAAAAGGTAATCAAGTTGACAACCGTTGGGTTGTACCTTATAACCCATGGCTTTCTAAAAAATATCAAGCACACATAAATGTTGAAGCCTGCATGACCATAACGTCAGTTAAGTATTTATATAAGTACATTTACAAAGGGCATGACTGTGCCAATGTGGTGATAAATGAGCAAGTTAACCATGATGAAATAAACACGTTTTTAAATTGTCGCTATGTCTCAGCTCTAGAAGCATTGTGGCGAATATTTGAGTATTCTTTAAGTGATATGTCACATAACATCATTCGACTTCAGGTTCATCTGCCAGATAATCAGATGATATATTTTGTAGAAGGCGAAGAACAGGCAGCTTCAGACCGTGCAGCACAGCGTGACACTCACCTAACTGCATGGTTTAAATTAAATGTTGAAAATGAACAAGCCCGACACTATCCATATGTTGAAATTCCTTACCACTTTGTTTTTGATAGCAAACATTGTAAATGGAAAGTTAGGCAAAGAGGTAGCAATAAGGTGATTGTTAGGATGTATAAAGTGAGTCCAATAGGTGAAATATTTTATCTTAGAATGTTACTTTTGCATGTTAGAGGTGCAGTTTCTTTTGAAGATTTGCGTACTGTTAATGGTACAGTTTTTAATACATTCTGAGAAGCATGTTCTCAATCAGGTCTGTTACAAGACGACGCTTAATGGAGAAATACATTAACTGAGGCTGCTGCAACTCGGTTGCCAAATCAAATTAGACAGTTGTTTTCCATTATTTTGACTTTCTGTGAACCTGATGATCCATTAAATCCTTGGAATGCCTTTAAAGATTTTATGATGGAGGATTACATTCACCATTCCATGCCACCAATAATTGCTGAGCAGGCAGCTTTGCGTCAAATTGAATCTATAATTAATCAGAATGGTAAGACTTTAGCTGATTTTAATCTTCCTACTTAAGATGAGTTTTGAGATTATGTCCCACAAAATGAAGAGGAAGATGTTCAGGTTTTAATTGAAGCAAATAGGGTTAGACCATTTTTAAATGATAATCAGCGTCAAATTGCTGATGCTATCCTTTCTGCTCTTAGTGAGCAACCTAACAATGAAAACAAGCAGTCTAGATTGTTTTTTATGGATGGCCCTGCAGGTTGTGGTAAAACATTTACATACAATTATTTAATCGCTGAAACCAGCAGTAGACATATTATAACTGCAACAGCTGCATGGACAGGAATAGCTGCAACTCTTTTAAAAAAAGGATGTACAATTCATGGTTTGTTCAAACTTCCTGTGCCGATTTTGGAAAATAGCACATGCAATGTAACTCCAAATTCTATAAACGGAAAATTCTTAAGGCAAGTTAGCCTTTATTTACTAGATGAGGCATCCATGATACCTAAACATGCTTTAAATGCCATTGATAAGTTACTTCAAGACGTTTGCAATAACAAGTTTCCTTTCGGTGGTAAAGTTATTCTTATGGGTGGGGATTTTAGGCAAATACTTCCGGTTGTAAAGAAAGGGCAACCAGCTGATATTGTTGAAGCCTGTATAAAATGTTCTCAACATTGGCAATATGTTCAGCGATTTTCATTAACAGAAAATATGAGGGTTCAGGCCGAAGAAGAGGAATTCTCTCAATGGCTTTTAAAACTTGGTAGTGGAACATTACCTTTAAAAGCAGATGGTTCCTTTCGCGGGTGCATTGAGATTCCTGAGCAATGCTTGCTTGGAGAAAATGAATCTTTAGTAGACAAGATTTTTGGAGTTGCAGAAGAAGATGATTATGCTAAACGTGCCATTTTGACACCCAATAATGTTGATTCTTTAGCAATAAATGAAGAAGTTTTGGACCGTTTACCAGGTGACGTTAAGGTTTATTTAAGTGCTGATACTATTGAAACAGATGATCTTAACGAAATCAATAATTTTCCTGTTGAGTTTTTAAACAGTCTTACTCCATCAGGAATGCCTGTTCATTGCCTAAAGGTAAAAATTGGTGCTGTTATAATGTTACTTCGAAATTTAGATCTAAAAGCTGGACTTTGCAATGGTACCCGATTGATAGTGCGTGCTCTACAAAATAATTACATTGATGGGCAAGTTCTAACAAGTGTTTCAGTTCGCAAGAGGGTATTTGTCCCTCGGGTTCCGTTAACACAATCTGATTCAAATTTACCTTTTACTCTTAAGCGTCGTCAATTTCCTGTAAGATTAGCATACTCAATGACCATAAATAAAAGTCAAGGTCAAACTTTTGACAAAGTTGGTATTTATCTCAAAAACCCTTGCTTTTCACATGGTCAACTCTATGTTGCATGTTCAAGAACAAGATCGTTTAATACCTTATTTTTTAAAATTGATGAACATTCATTACAAGGTATGTCATTTAATAAATGCTACACAAACAATGTTGTATTTACCAATGTACTAAATCTATAAATAATTAATTTTTTACAATTTAACTCCTCATTTCTTATAAATATTTTAACTGTAATTTAAAGTATTTTTGTGTGTTGCTTGATGCAGTAATGTGTGATATTTATTATGTGTTTAAATATGTGTTAAGGTTATATTTTGTAAGTGTTTATGTGTAACTAATGTGTAAATGACTGTTATATGTGAAGTGTATTTTTTATGTTATCTGTTTATAGTTTGTGAGTTGTTATTATGTTATTTTCAAGGTTTCAAAGTGGTGTGACTTGGCTTTGTTTATGGCAAGAGTGTTGTCCTTGCTAGCCAAGCGGTGTATTTTGAATAATGTGACTTGGCTTTGTTTATGGCAAGAGTGTTGTCCTTGCTAGCCAAGTGATGTACAGACATGAAACACACAATAAAATCTGTTTGTAATCACAAAATGTGTACTTATAAGTATGTTATATTTTGTAAGTATTTATGTGTAATTAATGTGTAAATAGCTGTTACATATGAAGTGTATTTTTTATGTTATCTGTTTATAGTTTGTGAGTTGTTATTATGTTGTTTTCATGGTTTCAAAGTAGTGTGACTTGGCTTTGTTTATGGCAAGAGTGTTGTCCTTGCTAGCCAAGCGGTGTACTTTGAATAATGTGACTTGGCTTTGTTTATGGCAAGAGTGTTGTCCTTGCTAGCCAAGCGGCGTACTGACATGAAACACATAATAAAATCTGTTTGTAATCACAAAATGTGTACTTGCAAGTATGTTATGCTGTTAGTAAATAAAGTATTTACAATAAAGTCTGGATAACTCAATAAATCAACTTAAATAAATCAAACTAATTTTAAAATTCCAGTTGAGCGATTGTTTATGGATCATACTACCAATAACTGAAATATTTTCTAATAAGCTAATTGCTTGATACTTTGGTGGTTTAAGTTATTGAGTCTTTACTGAAAGATTTTGTGCAATTTGTTATTGATGTTTGTGATGTTACTGTTGTGATGTTTTGTGTTGATAGACGACTTGGCTTACCTTCACGTCGGTGTCTATCGTTAAAAATGATTATAGGGTTGTTTCATACTGAAACTGACTATATATAATCATTCACTAAAAGCCAAGCATTCAATTTTTATATTAAACTGTAAGGGTTTATCTTTTTTTGATTATTTTTAGTGTGCTTTTTTTTTGAAAAGAGTTTATAATCGAAACTTGCAACAAAAAATCTTGAAACCTTTACACAAAACCTATTCACACAAAAAAAGTTTCTCAAAGTAAGTTTCTTATTTGATATCGCCTTGGTCACACTTTTGAGTTTTTAAATAAAAGAGTACATTAATGTGTTATGTTTTCAATAATTTTGTTTTATTTTAGTTCGAATGCCTTCTCTTAATGTTGATCGTTTTTTAACATACAAAGGGTTTGTTAATCTTTATACTATTTACTAAAAGATATATTATAGGGAAACAATTCAAATTGATTTTATAAAGTACTTCTGATACTTTTTATGTTATATATAATAGATATTGTAAAATTTAAAAAAAAAAAAAATTATTTTTTTAATTTTATTTCAAGAAAAATGTTTTTTGTTTCTCACACAAATTTGTAAATTTTTTCTCTTTGGAATTATAGTATTTGATGGATACATTGTTCATTTTGCTTTTTATATATATATCTCCGTTATATATGAATGGAAACCGTTAATACTTTTATTACCATGGTAATTACAGATCTAGATAGTTCCATTCCCATTAAGTATTTTACAAATTTTCGGTACAAATAATAGCTATAGTAGTTTAATAATTTGCTAATTTAAAAACATTTAGAAAAATTTGTTGAGAGTTTATTGTAGAAAATTTGCTTTTCAAACAAATAGAGCTAATTTTTGACATAATTAGGATTCGTCACCTGATTCTTTGTCAAATACTTCTCCTTTTTAAATAGGAAAGGTTAAATTTTATAAAAAAGTTTGCCAAAACACCGGGAGAAATGTCACGTAATTGGTAACTATGTTAAATACACTTTTGTTAGGTCCACGTAATTTTCGAATCTGCTCATCACTACGTTAGATGGCGTTATTTCTTTAAAATACCTTAAAAATCTTCAATTCAAAGTTTTTGTTTCGAATCATCAAAATATTGGCATATGATATAAATATACGATTCTAATAAACCAAAAGTATGTGGAAAAATTGCGCATACTTAGGCATCATAAAAACTTAATTTACACCAACCATTTACTTCGATATTTTTTAGTGTATGGCAGAAAAATAAATTACAAATTGTCTTAGATAAATAAAGTTACCGGACCTTTATTACTTAATCCATAAACAATTATTGTTTCATTCGATTTAACACCACAATAAAAAACAAAGCTTTTTCTATTTATTTTCGAAAAACGTTTTACTGGAAATCGAGTTCTTTTGTAGCATTTTAGTTAGAGTTATAGAAAAATCTATAACTCTTATTTTGTTAAGTAAAAAAAAAATCTTATGCTCTTCTAATTTTAGTCACCAATAACAACTATGTTAGGAATAGTAGAAAATGTTATGTGTGGTAGAGAAACTGTTTTAGTGTGGTGTTGTAGGAGTACTGCGGGTCTAAGAAACTTTGTTTTCATCGATAAATTATTCTATTAGTCTATTAAAACAGTATGAAAACTTTCCAGTATTTATATTTGATGTCTTTTTTTCATTTTATTTTATAATTGTAATTTAAGTTTCAAAAAGCAGCAAAAACAACTTGAAAAGAACTATCGCACAATGACTCGCTTGTACACAGGATTCCAATTTCCTGATATACATGGAAATGCTGATATTGGTTTCACTATATTGTCTCTTTGTAATGTGTAACATCATTTTTACTTAGGTTTGCCAAATGACCGGCTTTTCAGAGTAGAATATAGTCCCAAACATATACAGTTCAGTTCTTTTACTGCTTTCTTCTTCATAAAAGCCGGACGTCTTGCAACCCTTGAATTTCCCCTTCTTTTTGTTTGCATAAATTACATAATTCTCTTAATTATAAATACTCCAAATCCGATTTTCGAACAGCTTATTTTAAAATCTAAAGAAATATAAGCGATTAAAGATTACATTTTGCAAGCCAACTAGATGCTTAAACAACTCAAAAGACAGCCACGCGCTCATTATAATTCTCTTATAGTTTTAGAATCTGAGTGAGTTACTGTTTTGAATATCTAAAATCTTCAAATTAAGTTTTTATGATTTTTAGTTAAATTAGACTTAAGAATATGTGTAAGAATTGAGAATAAATATTTACTTTTTATTTTAGAAATGAACACATAAGAAAATTTAAACGGTATGTATTTATTGCATATGTGTGTTAGTGCTGTATGCGCTTATATTAGATATTATATCTATATATCTATATATATCTAATATATGCGTATACAGCACAAACGCTATACTTTATTTAGTACGCATATATAAATATATAAATATAAATAGACAAACAATTTACACTCTTATAAACAGTGTTGGGTTAACTGATAGACAAAATAAGCACTGCTATCATATTTTATTTATTGGAAATAAATAAAAATATCAAGTAATTCTCTTTTTAGACGATGATGGTGACTTTTTTAGAAGTAAGTAAACTATAATTTCTTTAGAAGTAAACAATTTTTATTTATATAAAGTGATAGTTATAAAAAATTTATTTCAAGTATGGAGAAATCAGTAGCATATTTTTTATCAAATATTTGTATACTAATAGTAATTTGATTGTTGGTAATAGTTATATAGTTATATACACGCAGCTATTTAATAGTGAAATTTCATTGTTATATGTAAAATTCAAATCTTGAAATAAGAAAAAAATCTTAATGTGTTTTTCAACTAGAAACTTGGAATTTATTTTCTAGACCAGATGTTGTGATTATTATATTTTCTAGACTAGATGTAGTGCTTTATCATATGATATGCTAAATGTATATATTGTATTGTGTGTATATCTTAGATGCGCAGGAGATAATGGCAGAAGAGACAGAGTCTCTTCTGCCTTATTTTAAAGAATTCTTCAATAATCAAAGTTAGCATTTTCTATTTTTTCTTTTTTACTTCAGTTTTTTCGAAGTTTATGTTACAGTAAGTAAATTGAGGAACTAATCTTTCATACATTTTGTTTATTTAGAAAATTTAGAAAGTAGAGTTAGTAAGCAAACTTTCATTATATTACTTTTATGTATATTAAATAAAAAATAATGAGGTTGGCTTTAGTAATTTGTTCATCTATTTAGAAAAATTAGAAGATTTACAAAAGTCCATAGGTGAGTAAAATTGCTTTTATGTTTATTATACACCTTAATTATTTATGTACATCTAATATTAAATGCGTTTTTTCAATTTGAGATTAGTTTTGGACTTTGTACTTTTTGATCAATTTTTTTAAATATCATTTTAAACTACATTTGTAAGTAACTATATTATGTTTTATGTCTCATAAAAGTTTTAATAAATAATATAATGTAATCACTTATATAGTGACAAATCCAACTTTCTCAGTAACGTATGTTGTTGTACTCACTTAGACTTGACTTATTACATTGATTGATTGTTTTTGTTGCATTTTTAGTTTTCTTTTATTTATGTCTAGCTGTTGCTTCTTCTGCTACAAGTAAGTTGTTCTATTCACTTATACTTACCTTAATTTATTGATTAATTGGTTTTATTGCATTTTTAATTTTCTTTTATTTATCTCTAGCTGCTTCTTCTGTTATAAGTAAGTCACTTATACTTAACTTATTACATTGATTGATTGTTTTTATTGCATTTTTAATTTTCTTTTATTTATCTCTAGCTGCTGCTTCTTCTGCTACAAGTAAGTTGTTCTATTCACTTATACTTGACTTAATTTATGGATTAATTGGTTTTATTGCATTTTTAACTTTCTTTTATTTATCTCTTGCTGCTGCTTCTTCTGCTACAAGTAAGTTGTTCTATTCACTTATACTAGACTTAATTTATGGATTAATTGGTTTTATTGCATTTTTAACTTTCTTTTATTTATCTCTAGCTGCTGCTTCTTCTGTTACAAGTAAGTTGTTATATTCACTTATACTTGACTTAATTTATGGATTAATTGGTTTTATTGCATTTTTAACTTTCTTTTATTTATCTCTAGCTGCTGCTTCTTCTGTTACAAGTTGTTATATTCACCTTTACTTGACTTATTACATTGATTGATTGCTTTTATTGTACCTTTTGTTTTTTAATATAGCTACAAATGTGCTTTCCAGTTTAATTAGTTAATGTAATAAGTCAAGTATTAGTGAGTAAAATAAATAAGTTGTTGTGCTTACTTGTACTTAATTGTTTACATTATTTGCTTTTATTGTTTTTTTACAGTAGATTTTTTGTAAGTATTACCTAGGTAGATAGTTGTATTTATATATAATTTTTTTTTCAGGCTCGAAGTCATGGGAAGATTTCCGAAAGTATCGCTCCCAGCATCCAGGCCCTCTATCTATGAGGGCCTTCCATCGCTGGTGTTTGTATGGGGACGACCATCCCTCCTTTAGATTGAGGGATGGCACCCCATACAACACGGGGAATAGAGCGGATGCTGGGAGGAGAAGACAACGTGGCTCAAAAGTTGTCAATAATTTTTTTACATTTTAAAATGTAAAGAAATTGACAACTTTTGAGCCACTTCATTTTTTTTTTGTAATATATTTTTGTAAATTTATTTTTGTGTTGTTTTTTAATTTTTCCCATGAATGTTAAATGTTATCAAAGTAAATCATTTAAATAAAGACACCTTTATCAACAATGCTCATTAACTAGAAATAAAAGTCACGGTCATACATTTGATAAAGTTAATGTTAATCTCAAAAGGATTTGGTTTTCACACAATCAAATTCTATGTAGCACCTTCCAGAACTAAGAATATAAGTGTGTGGTGTTAGTAGTTTAAAATATGTATAATAAACTCAGAATAACTCAATAACCCTCAACAAAACTATGAACTAATTTTGAAATTCAAGTTGAGCTTTTTTATTTATTAATACCTCCCCTCCCAATAACTCTAACTTTCCTTAACAAACTAATTTTTTTGTCCTTTGAAGGTGGTTCTGCTATTTAATTAATTGTTGTTATGTTTTATGCAAATAGATTTAGCTCACATTCATGTTGGTCTGTCAGGGTTATGTAAAAATAAAAAAGTAAGTTTCTTATTCGCATTTTTGAGTTTTCAAAAGTATTGATTGCATGACATGTTAATTTGTAATTAATGTGAATGATTATGCGTTGAAATAACTTTGTTCCATTTTTAGTTCCGTTTCTTATAGCTGACTTGATTATGGCTTACCTAAAGCTTAATATTTATGAAACAATGATTCAATTTAAATTGTATTATAAGTAGCTCTGTTGAATAAATTTTTTTTTTGTATTTGTACTAAAGGTTATATTTTTATTTTGTATCAAGAAAAATATGTTTTTAAGTAAATATCTATATTTTTTTATTTTGGAATTTATTGTTTTAAATGGATATAAAAATCATTTTTGCTTTGTCTTTTATATTTCCTTTTATTATATATGAATAGGAACCATTTATGCTTTAATCACCATTAGCACTCGAAGTTTCCATTTGCATTAAGTATCGATTTTTGGCACACACAACAGGTTTAATAACTTAGGCAGTAAAAACAGCTTGAATGATTTGTTAAGAGTCTTTAAAGAAACGCTTTTACGAAAAGCATTAAATAGATAAAGCTAACTTATTTAAAATAATAAGTCTTTAACCCGTTTTTCTATATCCAAATTTACTTTTTAAATAAATGTTGATGAAAGGGTAAAATATCGTTATAGCCTACGTTAATTTTAAATTCTTTTTAAATTAAAGGAAAGAGTTTTGATACTTATTTAAATAGGGTTAATAAAATATTTTAAATTATATTATATATATTATATTTAAGAAATTATTAAACTAAATTAAATAAGATTTTTAGATGAAACAGTAAAAATAATTGTTTAAAATACGTGCGTGCAAATAATTCCTACAAATACTAAACGTAAAATAACGCTTACAAACACCAAAAGTATGTTTGCAGTGAATAAAGTTAAGTTCAAAAATAAATAGGAAGAAATGTTTAAAACTGTTTCAATAATAACATTTATTTTTAATTACTTTTGTTGTAAGTTGGGATGAAAAAAAAAGGTCACTGGAGTATGAACTCCCGGGGTGAGATGACTATATCTGTCTAAGTGTTGCGCGTCTACCAATTAGCCCATAAACGTATTTTCTATTTAGAATTTAAGATTATTTATGACGCATTAGAAGTGTAATTAAAAATTCAAAACCAAGTTTGCAACAACTGAATTTAAATAAAATCTAATTAGATGTGTATATGTTATGAACGTTAACTAAGGCGTACTTTAACGGCGTCACGTGTTGAATGTTTTAGCATTTTTCCAAGTTCGTAGTCTTTTTTACGTTTTTTCTTATTAAAATTTTTATAATCGGCATAATATTAAAATCGTTTGAAGTTTTTAAAAGAACATTTTAACAGAAATGTTTTTGTCATATCAAAAAGTAAGTATAGTTTTTTATATGTACATTTTTAAACGGTTTTAAAAAAATATTGAGGTAAGGAATAAGTATAGAAAAGGTCGGTGTGGAATAGATTTACTAAGACCCTTAGTTTACGTCCGGATAGCTATAGATAAGTATAAAAATGGTCGGTTCGGTAAAGACCCGTATTTTACGGGTCCCCCCAGCTAGTTATAACAAATTTTCATTAAACTTTACAATAAAATTATGACATTATAGCAAAGTTAAAATAGAATATTATTTATTTTAATGCAAGCAGCATTTAGGCATAGAAGTTATTTTGTTTGTTTATGTCTATTATTATTTACTTGCACAAACATTTATAATAAGCTGTGTAAAAAAAAAAATTAATTTTTTTAATCTTTTTTATTTACCCTATAAATAGTTATATTTAAAGTTTTAGCACTGTAGGACAAGTATAAAAGAATTAGGCTTGTGCGTCTTTTTCTACAACTTTTATGAATAACGAGAAATTTGCTCATTTTAATTGTTTTAATTTTTTTTTGTGTACTTTTTGTAATAAACTTTATACAATAAGTTTTATTTTAATTCTTTTTATCTGTATATATTGAGAATACAAAAACATCTTCAGCGGTATCTTCATTAAATGTATCACACAAATAGTTACTGTCCACCTCTATGCGTATTATACATTTACTAAAATGAGCATATAAAAATTCAATTTGTTCTACCAATTAAATAAGAACGCGGTCCCTTCAGAAAAACCACACTATTGGTTTAGTAGATTAAAAACTTTCTAATTAAAGATAATTTACAGTTCTGAGGCGTTTTTTTTATTACTTTCACAAAATTGTATAATAATTTGTCGTAAATTTTAAAATATGTTGTATGCAGTGGCGAAGGAAGGTTTTAAAATGTTAGAAATAACCAACTTTCAAACAAAAAGAATATTCCATATTTATAAATTTTTTTACACTTAAATGTATAATGAAAGATTCTAAAAAAAATATTTTAGTGATAGGAGAATGGGAACAAGAAACCCTATTATCTTAGCCCGTCCTGCCTCAAACGGGAGAGCAATAAATTCTTGAAGTAGTTTTTGTACTATTTTTAACTAGACTTACAATATCGGACAAAACAAGTGCAACCAAATAATGCTAATTTAGTTTTTTTTATATAAAAGTGCTGCATTTTTTTCAATTTAGAGAAATAACTATGTAACTGCTTAGAAACAACGTCCTTCAAGTTTTATTCATCACAAAGTTCATTATTTGTTCACGAAAATTAATAAATTAATCAAAAGTATTAAAAAAAGTTGATTTCCTTCTGGACAAAATAAGTGCAATCCACAAAATGTTGACCATGCTGTATTTCGCTATCAATATTTCGTGGAAAATCCTTTGTTGTCGATCACAGCCTTGCATCTTTGAGGCATAGATTCGATCAAGTGATCAATGAAACTTTGTGGGATCGCTGCCCAGGTCTTTTGGATTTGTTCAAACAGTTGATCCTTATTACGAACACCTTCACGATTAACTGCGGTTGACGATCTCCGACAGGTTTTCGATAAGATCGTTGAGATCCGGAGATTGAGGTGGCCAATCCATCACCGATAGGTGGTTGTCTTGAAACCACTGCTTGACTACTTTTGCAGTGTGTTTCGGATCGTTGTCTCGCTAAAAAACCCATTTTACTGGCATATTCCATTCAGCATGAGGTAACATAACTTCTTTCAGGATATTTTTATTCATGAAACGGTCTATTATTCCATCGATTCGATGTATTGGACCTAAACCTTTAGCAGAAAAATACCCCCATTGCTTCCACCATGCTTCGCGGTCTTATGGCAGTAACGTAAATTGAGGCGTTTTCCGGCCGGTTGACGTACACGGCAAATGCCATCGCTCCCAATAATGTTGAACTTCGATTCATCACTAAACAGGACAGTTCGCCAACTACAGTCAATATGAGTTGTAGCAAACAGGAGCCTTTTCTTCTGGTTGTTTAGTGAAATCAGCGGTTTCTTTGCAGGGCGTCGAGAAAACAATCTGGCTTCAACAGCACGTTGTCTGATTGTTCGGTCCGATATAGGCAGCTTTAATTGCTTTTGTATCTCGACTGATGATATCCAGGGATCCTTCTTGACAGATCCGACGATCATAGAATCCTCTCTAGAAGTTGTGGAACGCGATCTTCCACCTTTGTTATCTGCTGCCAACTTCCACTTAAAACGATATTTGGAACATAGTCTTGATACGGTCCATTTTTTCATGCGATATTTATCACAAATGCTTTTTTGTGACATTCCACTTACGTAATCGCCAATAATTTTCTTTCTTAGTTCCAATCCATGACTGTCGGGAGCCATTTTTGCACTTGAAGCCATAAAAATAATAAAAACAAATAATCACGCACACAGTTTAACACGGTAAACTTTGAGAACAAGGTTCAACGTGTTAAACCTTGTTCTCAAAGTTTAGCGTTTACCTTGTGATGCTCTATGGAACACAACCGCTTGGTTGGATGTGGACTGTATTAATGTAATGAAACACTTGTTGTAATTCACTTCTTGTATTGATGTTCTTCGATCAAACACTTCGATAAACTGTCTTGATAATACTGAATGATTGACTTCCATATACTGGCTGAATTACATGTCGGTTTACATGTCTCTTATATAATAAAATGAACCTGTCTGAACCTGTTCTGGAAAGTTCTAGATGCTTCTGGATGCGTCTGGATGCTTCTGAATCTTTTTGGATACTTCTGGATGCTTCCAGATGCTTCTTCTGGGAACCTCTAGAAGCTTCTGCATGCTTCTGGAACCTTCTGGATACTTCCGTGACATTGACACGGACCAGACTTAAGAAAATGAATTTAAAAAAAAGTTGCACTTGTTTTGTCCACTGCAAAATGGCACTTGTCAACCTGTGTGCTGTCAGCATATTGCTCATGTCATGGCATGCTATGACTCTAGACTCCTAAACTGTTTGCTGTAGTATAGTTCGTTTCGTTTTTAAAAGTGAGTTTCCACTCATCCGTTTTTCTACGGGAAAGGGAAAGGGAACGGAAAATAATCACGTGAGCATGCGCAGTTTTCTTTCGGACAAATAAAAACTCTTATTACGCATGCTCACGTGATTATTATTTTTTTTCATGTTTTTTCCGTGATTAT